TACCTTAGAGATTTCTCTCTTAGGGTTTTGGTCGAAGTGCATCTTTGTTTTGGTTCTCGCTATGGTAGGAGCTTGTGTGACAATGGTATGGGGGTATCAATGGTCTCTTCTCTTGCATCTGCTAGGTGAGAGGGGAATGGCAATAAGGGGTCGTTTTAGTGCGAGTAAAAAGCATATTAACTTTCAAAGAAAGTTGAAAGGATAAATATAGGGTGAAGGACAGGCTTTAAGGTCTATAGTAGGATTTAGGCATTGAGTTTTGATTTAAAGATTTTTTTAGATAGTGGAGCATTGTATTGCAAAATGAAAACAACTACAAAACAATGGGGCTAAAAAAACAAGAGAAACTTAACACTCTTTTGAATCTATTTATTGTGGCTCGATTGGCTTTGAAAACGGGTTAGTTGGGGTGCATGATTGAATTATGCATTGGGAGGATGCAAACATTGAAAGCTACAAGGCCAAGAGTGGAAGAAGGAAAGCTTAACAAGAATTTGGGTTTATGGAGCAAACTAATGATGATGTTGTTCTATTTGACAAATTGAAGATGGCTAGGTTGATTGTGACGTTCCTATTTTCTAATATCATTGGTGGTTGGTCTCTAGCCATCAAAGATTCATGAATAGTTAAACCAAACAGTCACATACTTAGTAATTTAGACTAAATTAACTAACTATATAGTATAGTGACAACTTAGGTCATCTCCCAAAGAGGTGTTTAAAGATTAAATCCAAAGCTTTTTAATGCAATTAAATTAAAATAAAAATCCCAAGAGTTGATTGATTTTTATTGATTTAAACTAAATACTAAATAACCTAATTAAAACCTAAAAACCTAAGCTAAAGAGTTTGTTAAAATGGGATAGAATAGGATACTTGGAGCTAGATTAATGCTCAAATTCTAACTACTTATAAAATGTAAATTAGCTACCCTTAATTCTTCTCTTCCTACACAAATTATGAAGCCACTAGGATAATTCTCTCTAGCCACTTAACTTCACTAGAGACCCTAATTAAGCCTAGAACTCTAAAGCCCAATTCAACTCCCTAATTTAGTTTTAGGTTTAAGTTAGGTGATTAATGATAAATTTCAACAAGCATGCCCAGCCTTTAACACCCCAAAAATGACTCCAAAATTATGGTGGATCACAAGCAAGCCTAACAAACACTCCTCAAGATTATGATGAAGCATAAGTAAGGTTAAAACATTCAAGAACATTCAATATTATGAAAAATCCAAAAGTGGTTGAAAATATAGCTAAACAAACAGGCTAAAATTTAACACTAATCAAACTAATTTCTATACAATAATATCAACTAGGATTATGGTTGTAAAGCCAAGAAATAGCAATACAAAATTATTGTCCTACAAGTCTATTAATGGAGAAAAATTAAGAGAAAAATAAAAGGGTTACAAAAGTAAAGACCCAAGTGGTTCATTGAGCTTTCATCTTCCTCTAAGTGCCCAAAATAATTTAACCTTTAAAATTCTTCAAGTCCTCCATGAAAAGCTCAAGTTGGCCAAACCCTTTCATGAAACCAACTAGAGAATGAAGCATAAAATGGATGATCAAGTGGTAAGGATGTGTAGAGGGGAGTGACAAAAGAAGAATGTGTGTGAAGGCTAGGGTTAATCTTTTAGTGAAAATGAGCTGATTGTGTGTGTGTGTGTATTCAGCTGCTCGATGGGGGAAAAATAAAAGGAAAAGGAAAAGAAAAGGCTAGGGTGAGATACACAATTCTCACATGCTTAAATAAGTGATTGTTTCTTATTGGTTCAAAGAAAATATCCTAAGTGAGAATATTCTCACTTATTTCATCAAATAATCTAATTATTCTTTACCTTTTCCAGCCCCAAAATAATGCCAATCTTGCCTATTTTAGGCCCCTTCCATGATTCTTGACCAATTGTAAAAGTCCAAGTTCACATGTGCTAAACAAGTTACAAAATGAACATAAAATCAAAGTCAAATATTCATGTGACCTAATAATTAAATTATTTCACATGAAATTAATTAACTAGCATGGGAGAATATTAATGACATAAAATCCAAGGGTAGCAATACGTGAAAGCACATGCAAGTATATAAAACCCTAATTCGTTCAATGAAGTTAACAATCCTAAATTGTGATTTTATTTTATAACTCTAAACCAAATTAAATTTTGAAAAACTAATTTTATATTCATTCTTTTGGGCATAAAACATATGGAATACAACATTAACCCAATTTTTCATAAAAAGTGCAATTTTAGACTAAAATACTCCCAGTGCACAATTCTGTCCCTTAGGCAATTTTCTTGCTTTTAACACCATGAATGCACCAAAATGAGGAATAAAACATATAAAACGGGTTTTAAATGAATGAATAAAGTGTGTAAAATATGAATCTTATCAATAGTCCTTTTGGGTGTTGATAGGGATTGAGGGCCTTCCTAGTAATGTTGTTGACTTCTTTTTTTGGCCCTTTTTTGTGTTTTTGCTTTTGTCTTAATCTCTTGGCATGTTGTCTCTTTTTGGTGTTTCCATTTGTCTCTCTTTCCACCTTGCTCTGTGGATTATCGGTGATCGCTGACTCTAATTTATCATAATTTTCATATGATTCCTTTTCCTTCTTTTAAAGCTACTCTTAGTATTTCATCAACAATGATAAAGAGGTTGGGCTCAATCGAGCATGTCCTAGGGCAACCACTCTCCATTGCCACGTTTTGGATTATGATAAATGAGGATTTAATCATTATTTTTTCAACTCGCGTAGCAAGGCAGCTTGGTCTTTCTTAGTGCATTTCCCTTTGTTTTTGGTTTAGTGGTGTGTTTAGTTTCTTGTATCAGGTGGTATTTGTTTTTTTTATACTCACTTTGGTTCTATTTATAAGTCACTTCGAACATGTTTCATTGAAATAAAAAAAATTTTAAATCTTATTAACTTTATCTTAAAATTTAATAAGCTTTCACATTTATCCATAATAAATATTTTTAAATCTTATTATTGATATTTTTATTAAAAGCATTTAATAAAGGCAAACATGTAAAGAGAAGCATTAGAAATGACTAGTGCCTGGTACATAGAATTAAATTTATTCTTCTCTCACTGTTTTATAAATAGGATTAAAGAAGTGTCTATTATCTCATTTTTTTTAATGAAATTCTCTTCCCAACCAAAGAAAAAAAAATGAAAGAAATTAGTCATTTTGATCATAAGTGAATCCCTAACGTAGTACATTTTTTATTAATTTTTATTGTATAACAAACTGTCAAAATCATTCATCTTTTTCATATATTTATAAATGACTAATTTATCAACTGTAGATTTTTCTTTAACATGCTCGAGTAGGTGATGAGCGTCGTTTGCTCATTAGGTTTGGGGCAATCTTGGTTCTTCATGTCACTCTAAAATATCTCTATTGTTCATTGAAATTATTTTTTTTAAATATTTTTAATATTGTATTTAATACAAAAAAAATTTGATATTAAGTCTAGATTGTTTTTAGTATTCATTAGGGAATGAGTACTGTGATATTCATCACTTTTGATGAGATTTGCACCATTCAAAATTTTTATTTTTATTAAAATAAACATTTATAAAAAATATAATTTTTTTTGAGATATCCATTCATTGTCAATCTGTCTAATACATATTTAATCTAAATAATTTAATTTAATATTAAATTTTTTATAATTTTAAAATTTGACTATTTAAATAGACTCTAAACAGTTCAAATATAATTTAAATGACCTAATTTAATATTAAAAATTTATAAATTGTACAAATTGATCATTTAGATGTGCTCTAGACAGTCCGTATTTAATATTAATTTTTTTTGTAATTTTTATATTAATCAATACAATATTAAAAATTAATCTAGATAAAGGGCATAGATCATTTTAGTGTAAAATGGAGGGCTAGGATTGCCTTGAGTCTAATGAGTATCGAATCCAAACTCTTTTCTTATACCTTATGCCTCTACAATTTTTTTTTTATAAAGCGATGACAACTACTTTTTTATATTAAGATTAGTTAAAATTAGTTGAAGGTTAATAATCATCTTTGCCTCTTTACTTTACCCAAATGATCTATGGGTGCTCTAAACTCAATTATAAATCACTTCTATCCCTCAATGTTATAAATTTGCTGCTTCCTTGCCTCTAACATTAATGTTGAGAGATATAATTAACTTATATTTGAGTTTATGGTGCTTATAGATCTTTTGAGTAAAGTTGGTAGACAAAAATAACCCTTAAACCTTAGTTAAATGTTAAAGTTTCTCATAAAATTTCAAAATTGCTAGATTTATCATGAACACTTTTTACCCTTTGATAGTATAAGGAGAATACTCTATCGACAACAAATATTATCCTTCTTGAGATATGGAAGGTAAAGGAAAGATTTCTCTCAATTAAATTGCTATATACACAAGTGATGATATTCAAACCTTCCATTACTTACTTAAATGACATGAATCTTTATTATCCATGCCAACTTTAATTGATATACCATGGACACTTTTAATGCATATCAAGTTTACAACATGTCATTCAAAATGATCAAGGAATTTTGTTTCCCTCAAGTACTTTGGTTATTATCCTTATATTGTAGTGGAACTTAAAAGTATTTTAAAAGGTCATAGCTTTTATTGAAATAACAATTTCATCATAATAAATATAAACTTTGATTCAATTGAAACTCTTGCATTGATTTAACGGATTTCTTATGACCACCTTCTCACAAGAGCTATTAATAAGATTAGGAACCTAATTATAAAAAAATTGAATTATTATCTTCAATCACGTTTTCCGAGAAGAAATGGATAAACAAATTCACTTCCTTGCCATACATCAAACAACAATTCAAACACCATAACTTTTGTTGAATAACCCTTGGAATGCACAAACATTATTTGCTCTCACATGAAGCAATTCTTGCTGGATGCCTGGTATTAAAAAAAAAAAAAATTCATTGGTGAATGTTTTGCATTTGCTACTTCTGAGTCTGGAACAGAGGATACGGCTTCTTGGCTATTACGTGTTGAATTACTATGATTCTTGGCTATCAGCAATCGGAACTGCCATTTGCAAGAAATCACAAGCAATTTGAAAATCTTTTTATTCTTGTTCTTATAGGGCCGGAAAAAAAAAAAAAAAAGAAGATTTCACTAGATGAAGATGAAAATTCAAATGCCTCGTAAGGACTAAGATTATCCCCTCACAAAATCTCAAGGAAAAATTGGGAGGAATCTATAAAATTTCAATCATTTTCCATCAACGTCGAAGTCCACAGACGAAGCCATAGTCGGCACCATCATCCTCTGTTTGGGCACCGCCTTTAACCACCTTCGACTACTGCGCGTTCATCACGGCTTCGAGGTCCCAATCTGTCAAGCCTCGCAGACGAAAAAGCGAGAAAGCGAGCTGCACTGCAAGTCAGAGTGACCTGCCCTTTTATTGAATCAACGACCGCGATTACTTTGCGCTGATCGGTTACGATCGCGCCCATATCCTCAAAACGGCGTCGCACCCTAACCAGACGCCTTGCTTTCTTGAGTGTGTTCGTTAAACTCTATCTCATCTATTGGATCTCATTATCCTCATTCACCGAAAGAACCAGGCTCAGTCTCAAATGGTAAAAATGCTATATTTTTCAAAGATAACTGAACATAAATGATGTCACGGTGAACTTTTCTTCTTTTCAATTTTTGTTCTTATCCTCAATTTTGGGTTATGAATCTTGGGCATCTGGCTAATTTGCTTATAAATGCATTAATTGTTTTTCTAAGAACATATTCTGTTTATGCTCATCCATAATTCAATTATTTCCCTCGCGTTACTGAGGATAAGGGAAGTATGTTGAGTGTTTGCTTGCCACTCTGAACTGAGAGCTTTATATTGGAGTACCAGAATAAACGCTTAGGGAATTCATTACAGAACTTAGTTTAGATAGTTTATACTGATATCCATCTTTTAATATGAGTTTTATGAATATGTATATCCATTGCAAAATGCTCAACGGATCATTCCGCATAAATTGATAAATAATTGTGTCAATTTACGTATGCATATGCTTGGAAGGCCTAAACTTTTTTAGTGGCGGATTTTGGTCTAGAGTTTCGCATGCTCGCAAAAATTGCTTGCCCGTGCTTTCCTGCCCGATGGATTTAATGCTATATTAAGTGATCTTTTGTTCGGGTGAAAGTATCCATGGTGTTAATGGATACATGTGAGGCAATAGGGAACAGTTTCAGGTCACTATAATTTATATTCTGAAAATGGATTCCCGTGACCCCTGGAAACTATTCGTGGTTGCTGAGGGACTTGCTATTCATTTCGAATTTATAAATCTTAATTTAGACATGGAAATTGTCATCATTCTGTTATGGAGATGTTTCTGGACATCTTGGTTGGGGTCTCTGATCTCTAGTTAGTTGTGCTTAGTTGGGTATGATTGCGCTGCTTTAGTTGCGTATGGTTGTGCTGCTTTAATTGTGCCTTTGGTCCAGTCCTGCCAAAGGGCAAATAATCTATAACACGTCTCTGCGTGAATTATGATTTGCAATTAGCCTTGCTGGTTTTCGGTATTCTAACTCAATTTTGCGCCATGAGAATTAATGCTTATAGCTGTAGGTGCAGTTTGTTGTTGACTTGAAACTTGAATGGTAATCTGTCCAATCTTTGGTTGGCTGTTATAATGATTTTATCATGAGTATAGTTTGGTTTTTGACTTAAGTTTTGAGTGGTAATCTATCCAAACTTCGTCTACTGTTGCAGTTGCTTTATCATGAGCTTAGTTTGTTTTGACCTGAATCTTGAGTTTTATTGTGTCCCAACCTTCGCTACTGTCACAGTTGTTTTCGCATTAGTATTTTCAGTAGTAATCTGTCCAAATCTTCTGTTGTTGTCATGTTGATATGTGGTGTGAGTTTAACATGATTTCTAGCTTGAAAGTTGAAGCTAAAAGTCAGTTCAATTCTTCGTTATTATTCTATTAGTTTTAAATATGATTTAACCATGATTTCTACGATGATATAGTTATGTAAAATTTGTTTTAAATTTTTGCTTTCTCTCCCATTTATTTGTAACATGATTTAGCTTTGGTTTTTAGCCAAATTTTGGATACATATTCTGGGCTAAACTTGCTGCTATCTGACTGCTGTATTAGTGTGATTTAGGTTTGACTTTGAGCTTAATGTTATGTATCAATTATGGGTTAAAGTTTCTGCTCCCTTTTTTTTTTTTTTTTTAACTACCATGATATGGTGTTTTTTAGCTTAAGTTTTGGTACAAGTTCTTGGTTAAAATTGCGGATGTAATTGATGACACTAGTATGAAATAACTTTTCTCAGTTAAAATAATGCTTGTTGTTATATCCTTGTTGACATGATTTAGTCTTCCTTTCAACTTCAAATTTGTGCCAAATAATGAGCTCAATTGAGGCTTGCTGACCTATGATCGTTAATGTGTTTTAATCTTGCTCTGGAATTCAAGTTAGTGCCTAGTAATAAATTGAGCTATTGCTTGCTGCCCTATATAGCATCAAATTGCAAGACTTCTCTAAGCTGAACTTATGCCTACCCAATTAACTTTAGGTAACTATTCTTAGGAATCAGTACTGTTGGTGACAATAACTTATATGCTGAACTGGCTATTAAACCTATCTTTGTTTTTTGAGACCATCATTTCCATTAAATAGGTGTCTGGGGGCCTGTAAAATTTTGGATCTGAGATTGCTGAACTCTGAAAATATTCTGTTTATTTTCATCCATAATTCCATTATTTCCCTCCTATTGGTTGCAGAGGGCAAGAGAAGTGTGACGAATCTTAGTTCTTAACTCTGAACTGAGAGGTTTAAATTGAAGTACCAAATGAACCATTGAGCTGCTCTGTTATCCTTAGGCCCTTAGGGACTTCATTACAGATCATCATTAAGAATCAAGATATTTATACTGAATACTTAGTACTGATGAGCATCTTTTTATATGGGTCTTGTGAATGTGTGTTGTCATTTCATAATAGTCACTGGTTTCCACACATAACTTGAGAAATAATTGCCTCAAACTTTTATGTATATGCTTGAAATATCTTGGTTTGTGAGTGTGTGTCTGTGTGTGCACGCAATTTTTTTTAATTAAATTTTAAAAAAGTGGCCAATTTTGGTTATGTTACGAATGCTAGAATTTGTGCACATCTAGTAATTGTCCTGGTTGATCTTGATCATCATCTGCCCGGCCCCCCCTTGTGGGAAAATATTGTAAGATATTTTCTTCTTCTATCAAACCACATGCTAAGGGAAACATTTTCTTTTGTAGAAGTTCATTTGAAGTACTATGGCATATATTCTCAGCAGAGGTTACTGAAAAATGGAGTTGAGATCATTCATCTTGCAATCTACCTTAACACCTTTGTTTCCATCATTTACATGCTGCATTAAGCCTTCTTTCCAGTCCAAGAAGATGGACCAGAAGGTTTATAAATTAGAGATCAGTAGAAGAATGGGACTTCTAGCGGCCATGACTTCAATAGTATTAGCAGGAGAGGGTATTTTTAGCACAAAAATCGCAAGTGGATTTGATTTTGGATTTGTTGCCCCTGATCAAACTATTGAAGAAGCAGAGAGTGGAGTCAGAAGTCATGCAAAAGCCTTATTACAAGTGAAAGATCTATTGGAGACAGAGTCATGGAAAGAAGCACAAAAAGCATTGCGAAGGAGTTCAGCTCTTCTGAAGAAGGATATCTATACCATAATCAATAGCAAGCCTGGAAGTGAGAGGCCCCCACTAAGGAAGCTCTATTCCAGTCTTTTCAATAATGTCAGTAGAGTAAGTACGGTAACACTGACCTGCTTTATACTTCATGGGAGTGGAAGATGCATTCTCCATTTTAAAATCTTTTTTGCAGCTATCATACCAATTTCCATTCATTTCCTAGTCTTTGAATATTTCTAAAATTATATTTAAAGGAGTTTGATTCAATTTAGAGAGCTCCCTCAGTGGGCTTTGGCAGATTTTTTGTGTCCCGCATCTTATATATGGATGAAATAAATATTTATTGGAAGTGTAAAAAGCGTAGGTGGAAATAGTAGAATAAATTGTGTATCAAGCTCTTATTAATCAGAAGTGATTTTTCAATTAACCATTACTAGTTGATCAAGGAGAAGGCATGTTCCTGATTGTTTTGTGAGAGTAGGAGCGTCATACGAGAAACTGAGAAATTCTCATTGAGTTGGTTGCTATCTTTGCTGAAGATCTGTACATAGTACTTCACCATAATCAAGTGTTTGTAGGGCGATTTATTTGATTGGCTTGACTCTTGTAACTCTGAAAACTAGATCCTTGTTGTCCTGTGATTCCATAGTTGAGGGAGCCTTTTTCTGCATGGCTTTTATTGTCACCCTTTATGTGAAGTTCTGTGTAGGAAATTCTTCCATCGATATTTCTGATAAAGATACAAACACATTTCTCGTTTTGCTTCTATGTTTTGTTCTCTGGTGATAATATTTAGTTTGCCATATGAAGTGATTGTCGATAGCCATTGATTCACTTCTATGTATATCTGGTGAACAATGCAGCTGGATTATGCAGCGAGGGATAAAGACACCCAACAAGTCCGACAGTGTTACAACAACATAGTTGTGGCTGTCAATGGCATTCTATCCAGAATATATCCATCCTAGGCTTTTTAAAATGAGGAATTGAGAACTTGGTGGCAGATTGATGTCAAAAGCAACCTGAAACTTCCTGATATGAACTCTAATAGCTGAGTAAGGATGCTTTTATATTTTATCTTGGAAAGTTATTTGAAAATTTTGATTGTTCAATGAACATTGATAACGAGATGAAGTTCTTGGTAGTCTTGGCAGGGGGGAAAATCAAATACATGTGCAAACATTAATTTTGGCATAGGAAGATTTAGCGATTTTTGAACTGTGCAAAGATCGAATTCTAGAGAGTATAGATGTTATTCTAAGACTCAATAGACATGAGTAGCATATCGAATACAACATAAAACAGTATGTGGAATATAATGACTTTTACAATTTTAATTTTAAGCTACATGTCCGATAAGGCTTATTCTACAAGATAAATATTCATGTATCAACTCAGCTTAGGATATTTATCTTTTTTTTTTTATGGTTAAGATTAATAATTAGGGAGAGTTTGGTATAATCTATTGAAACACATTCTGTTCAATTTCACTAAAAATGAGGTATGCAAAATTTACTAGATTCCTGTTATCATTATATAGAAATAACTATCTCTTTTCATTATCATTATTTATTTATTTATTTTAATTCAGGGGCGCCAAAGACATTCCAGACTATAAAAATCACTTTTTCTATTTTCTTTTCTTTCTTCACTCTATTTTATTTTTCCTTGAAAAAACAGCCTCTTAGTGTTTTATCACACATAATTCAGAGGCTTTCAATACATTCACTAATCTATTTTACACCATAGGCCAAAGTAAGAGGCCACCCTTTCACACCAACTTTCCTGCTTGTAGAATTAATGTTTCATTGTACTCCAATCTTGAGTAATGGAATGAAGGACATCACTTGCTCTATTTTCTTCTTCTTCATTATCACTATTTTCTGGATTCAAACTTCAAGTAACCCTTAACTGCATGTTCTTGAATGGTGCAATCACCTTCCTGATAGACTCGAAATGGAAACAGTAGCATTTGATGAAGATGTACCATTAGACATAGAATTGTTTGTTCTAGGCCTCAAATTAGTATCAACATAGACAGGCATAGTTGGTTTCTTGTGCTCCATTAAGCCCTTGCTTTTGAGCATAACAACAATTTCAGACATTGTTGGCCTAGCTGCGGGAGATGCTTGAGTGCACAGCAATGCAATCTCTATTATTTTCTTTACTTCTTCTGCATCGTATTCATTTGGATCTAAGGTTTTATCCACAAAATCTATGTGCATTCCTCTCTCATGCAGTCTCCAAGCCTGTCAAGAGGGATCAAAGTGATATAGCAAAGAAAAAGGAGTTTCTTGAAGTTTATTAGACCATTGCTATCATGTACTTTACTAAAACAGTAACATGTGAATTAATTTTTATAGGGCAAGTATCATTGTTGTATTGTTGAGCGGTAAAAATGTTCATTTTTTATGTTATATATTGAAAGTCGTTTAAACTCCTAAAGCTGCAGTTAGAGTTTCTTCAATAAATATAACCCCTGTTATATTTGTTCTGGCAATTTGCTTACTCTTTGAAGGAGGAGTTCGCTTGAATCATCAATCTTCAATTCACCACTCTTTTGTCCACTTATGATTTCTAGAAGTACAACACCATAGCTATAAGTATCAACCTTCTCTGATAATTGTCCATGCATTGCATATTCAGGTGCTGTGTATCCCCTGACAAAAATATAGTATTTATGGCATACTAAATCAAAACAATAACATACATGAAAGTGGGACATATATGAACACTGATAAAATAAATTTGATATGTTCATGTGCATCTTCGGGTGTTGTATCACATATTAAATGTGTCATAAACGGATACAATCTTTCTTGAATTACTTGAGCTCTGTAGAAACAAAACATCAATGAAAAGGATTTAAAGGTGTAATAACAGTGTTCCATTTGCTTAGCACATGAATTTTTTTGCAATCTTTTGTTTTTGTGTGTGAATAATAAAAGAATAAAATATGATAAATTTCATCTGCTTTTACTTACATTGTTCCTGCAAATTTTGTGTTGAGATGAGATTGGTCCTTTGGCAAAAGTCTTGCCAACCCAAAGTCAGCAATTTTAGGTTGGAAATCATCATCCAAGAGAATATTGCTAGTCTTTATATCTCTATGAATAATACAAACATGGAATTCCTCATGCAGATAAGCCAAACCCCTTGCAGTGCCCAAAATTATGTTATAGCGTTGCTTCCAATTGAGGGAACCCTTATTTGTACCTATTTTCAACACTTAGAGTTAGAAAAAGTAATGGAGGAACTAAATATGATTCTCAATCTATAAAGGACATTGATTAAAGTTTTGATTGTCTACCAAATAAGAATTGGCCAACATTGTTGTTTTTCATGTACTCATAAACAAGAAATCTCTCTTGGCCTTTACTGCAACATCCTAGAAGCCGAATAAGGTTTCGATGATGAACATTGCTTATCAACTTCACTTCACTCTCAAAGTCTTTCTCCATCTGTTTGGATTGGCCTAAAGCCAATTTCTTGACAGCAACTATTTTTCCATTTTTCAGAGTGCCCTGTCGAGCAAAGACTAATTATAGACTATGGAACCTGCTTATGAAAAGTTCAATCATATAGGAATAAAATATATATGTTCACAAAAATTACATCTGTAGTTCAGTGAAACCCTTTGCATCTTGTGTGATAAATATCATTAATAAACCTAGGTAGATTGAATCTACACAAAATGCCTCTGCAACATGCTTAAAAGCATGCTTCTGTTGAGAAATGATATTGAAAATGAACGTTTATATAGTTTACCTTGTACACATCTCCAAAACCTCCTTCTCCTAGTTTATTTTCTTTACTGAAATTTTTTGTTGCAGCCTTGAGATCTTTATACCTGTAGTTAACAGGGCCTTTCAATTCAGTTGCTCCCAAAATGTCACCTGTAAGGAAGCACAGTCAGGGGTCATCCCTTTATTATTAAAACCATAGCATTTCCTTTGGTAAAAAAGGGTAAAAATTAAAGCATCAACATAATTCATTCCAACTTGAATAATGATGACATTCCCAGTTATCTTACCTCTACGAATCCTCTTGGTCGAAGTTGATCGTCTGTACAAAACAAATAATGCAAGGAGGATCAGAATGAAAGAAGCACCCCCAACAACTCCACCTATAATGGCCTTCTTGTTTGAACCTCCTGCTAGGCACAAGAAAAAAGTTATCCCCATTTCCAAGTTTTTATAAACATACAAGTACAGCAAATAACTCTAAGCCTATCTGTGATGAGCACGCGCGCGCACACACACTCCCCCCCCCGCCCAAGTTTTTATAACTCAAGTATGCAAAATATGCTATCTATTTGAAATTTATAAATTATAGGCCCATACCTTGTTTCAAGAACTGCTTGATATTAGTGGTTTGATTATCAGCAAAGAAGGCAGTGGTGGAGTATCTCATGAAACAACCAGCGTCATAAGTCTTAGCATTTGAATTGGGAAGACAAATCTGAAAGTTTTTAAAGCCAGTGTTCAAGCAATCCTGGCAGCCGCTTTGAGTGACAGTCTCAAGACATTGAGCAAAGGCATAAATTGAAGTGTTACTATTAGGCACTTGCGTTTTAGTGGCTGCATAGAAACCAGGTATTCTTGGTGTTGCTGTTTCCAGATCCGTTAGTACTTTTTCCACTGTTGATGCAAGTTCGGTGGAGTTTCTTGGTTTATTCCCACACACAATGTTGTTGCCAGCGTCTGTGTTCTGGTCAAAGAAGCCACTGCTCTCGTACCTTAACAATTAAAACAAAGAAATGGAGTATCCAGAGTTACTTTATTTGGTAGCTTCATAAAATTCTTTATACATAAAAAGTAATTTGTGTGTGTGTGTGTGTCTCCTCGGAATTTTGCTGAGGTTATCATCCCTGAATGTTCTCCTATGTTCTTTCTGTGTTTGTCTGAGTTTATGTAGTTCACACGTTTAACTATCTCGTTTTATGGACATTTGATTCATGACTGATTTGAAATTAAGATTTAGTACATGATTTACTTAAAAATATTAAATTGCACATTAAGTAGAGTCGTGCACTTCTTCACAAACTAGGTCAACCACTTTGCATTGCAAGGGGCAATCCATTAAAAAAAAAAAAAAGTGGGAATGAAAATAAAAGAATACTTGGCCAACCAAATAAAAGGAACTTGTGGAACAATAGGACAAAAAAGGTGTGAAAGTCCAAATTCTATTGTGCAACATATCTTGCAAATGTTATCACTTGACTAAGAAGAGAGAATGTCAATACCAACGTCATGCCTTATTATCACATTTATTTCATACTTGTTCAAAGCTCAAGCGTGACTCAAAGGTAAGTTTGTTATTTATAATTTGATATTATATCTACCTAGTTGTTTCACTTAATCACATTTCTATAACTTAAAAATAAAAATTGAAATAGGATATATCTTATTATTTGCTTTTTAATTTGGTCTTCCCAATCAATTGATTTATTTTAGAAAGTTATCAAGTGCCAATATCAATGTGATCAAATATTGATCAATGGTCAACATAAAATTCATAGTATGCAGTTCATTCTTTAAATTTTGTATTATAATGTATGGAAAAGGAATATTTTTTGTTGTGAAATCAATGAAAGTCGTCAAGATATTTATAGCACAATGCCTTGATTGTCAAAATTGGCAACTCCAAGTGAGTCAATTTGCTATATCTCTTGAATAGGTTGTGTGGACATGCAAGAAGTCAGCTTAATTTGGAAACTTGTGCTGGTCCTACTTGGAAGATTTGTCAAATATCTACTTCTAATATGTACACATACATTATTTTCAATTTTTTTATATTATAATTTTAAAATATTTTAAATTTAAAATAAACATATATATATATATACATATATATGAAATGTTGCTACTCTATGTTCAAATATAAATAAATTTTAACTAACTCATACAATTTAATAAAATTAGTTAATCCTAATAATTATGTCTAAAATTAAAAAATTGGATTAAAATGTCCTTATAATTAATCTTTAATTTTTCTCTAATTTAATGAAGGATAATTAAGGAAATATGTTATAAATTATTCTTAAAAATTATATTTTGTTTATAACAAACAAGAAACCATATAAAATTTTTTTATATTTAAAAGAGAAAATATTGATGAAAAATATTTAAAAGAATTTAACATCTGACAGGTATTTTGAATAAGTAAATATTAATAAATTAATAAGTGAAGTTATTATTTTAATATATATTTAATCTATTTAGATTCTTTGTAAGATATTAATTTCTTTTAGGGTCCGATATTCCCCCTATTTAAAAACGGATGGGGTATATAAAAAACGTATATAATTTTATAATAACATGCATATCTTATCTATGCCCATTTATTATTATTTTTTGATTGCCTACCGTCCATAATTTTCAATTTGTTCTCTGTTGCAATTTCCTTAGTTTTGCATTTCAGTTCTCATTAAAAAAAAAAAAAAAAGGAGGCCGGAGAATCATTTTCAATGAGAGAATTCCAGATTTTGTTCGTAGTATTGTGATAACCGAATCTGTTGGTCCAGTGAATATTTTTGAAGGGTCAAAGTAATGTACCTGAGGAAGCAACCTTCGTAGATGATACGAGCCCCGGTGACGCCGACGGAGCAGTTACGAATGTGATCGGCGGCGAAGTCGAAGCACTTGAGACAGTCGGAGATGGAGAGGTAGTTTCTGCACTGAAAGAGAGCATAAGCCGGGTTGTTTCCCTTCACCGCCTGCGCCGTCGCGAAGTGTTTGCTCTGGTTTCCGATCTGAGCTTTCAGGTCTTGAAACGTTGCGTTTAGGTTCTGATGGAAGATGTTCACGTCCGTGACGTTGTACTGGCTACACCCTATTTTCACGAAGTTGGTCTGCGGGTCTGAAACGACGCCGTCCAGAGTCCACCATGACCAGATTATGAAGCTCAAGACGAAGAAGAACAAAGGCTTATGTTGTAGGTACATGGTGTCTTACTGTTTTTGTTGCTCAAGGGAGAGAAGAAAGAGACTCTGAGAGAGAAAGAGAGAGATGATGTAGAGAATTAATCCTTTTGAAGAGTATAAGTAGGCATGATGTTTGAAATTAAGATACAGCAAATTAGACAGAGTTAGGGGTTTAATTGCCAAAAAATTCAATTCAAAGTTCAAAACAGTTAAGGTACTGAATTGTTTATTACACACTGTGGGTCAAAGATTTGATGCTATCATTGACTTTCAACATGATGTGGAGTTTCTATTATTATTATTATTATTATTGGCCATCCTATGGGCTTTCTATGCAGCCTCTCACTTTAAAACGTAAGATTTTTTTTAATTATATTATGTACTCTCCCTGATTTTTGTTATAATACATTTTTTAGAAGTATTGATAATCCTTAGTATAACATAATGTACTTGATGGAACATCGATCACTATTTTTTAATGTTATTGTTATTTAAATTTATTGACTATTTGAGAGAATGTAAAAGTTAAAATTTTTATTTAAATATAAGTGAAATTAGGAGTTTATTATTTTTTAGAGAAAGTTAATAAATTAATTAGTATATTAATAAAATTTAGATTGTTCTTATCTGTTCTTACTATTTAATTTTTCTTATGAAATGATATATATGTCGTTTTCTTTTTGTATTTGCCCTAACTACCGTAGATTTAAAAATGATTATTTAAATCTTTAATTTTTTTTAATGAGTGACGTCACATGTGGGAAAGCAATGGTACAATGCTGCCCAATGAAAGCAAATTGAGAATGATGATCGTCAGGGTACAGCTAGAAGTTGACCAATAATACTGCTTTACTAAGATGTGATAATCTTTTTAAGTTTTAAGGATTTATCTATGAATAAATTTTAAAGTAAAATAATATTTTTACCTTCATGGCCAGAAAACAAAAGAAAGACGGCAATCTCAATGTAACATGAATCATCGAGAGCATATCAAGAACAAGCAGACAAAGATGGATCCCAGGGCGGAGCCCAACATTCCGAGCCTTAAAACCTTGACATTCAAGTGCAGTCTCAAGGTCTCATCCACGTCCTTACTATTCAGTAGGTTGATTGCCAGCTTTAGCCCCCAAGGCTGAGCCACCAGCAACAAGAACATGAAGAAGCTGGACGACACCACCTCGAACACTAGAAGCTTCTCCACCATGTCCACATTGTTTTGGAAGGGTTAGCTCCGTGGAATTCAGAAGGTGAAAGAATAAAAATAGGAAAAATTACAATGAAGTTTCATAGAAGAAACATAAATACAGCCAGGTCCCATGAATGAGGGAAATTATTCTGAAGTCTCATGTTCCTCAAGGGTAAATAATTCTAAAATTAAAATGACCCATTTGTCCTTGTTTGATTAAAAGGGAAAAAGCAAAAGAAAGAGAAAATATTTGGTCCATTTTCGCACGTGATGGATACTCCTATTTCGAATTTTAAGGCATGATTGAAACTTTCCACTTTTTCTAAAACCAACTGTCAATCTCCCACTCATCTCTGCACTGTTGTTTCTTTGCAAATCGTTGAGTGAATCTTTTCTGCCCTCTCATCAATTCCAAAGTTCTTGCCCTTGAGTGGTTTCAAATCTCGTTAGGTTTTGGGTTAGTGAATCCTCATATTTGGTGTGGTCAACATCTTTGAGTGAGTCAACATTTTTTTTAGAGACCCAGGTTACGATCGCTCTTCATCCTTTCATTTTTTTCACTTACTCAACTACCCTATTTACATATAAATCAAAACTCTCACTTGTGTTTCTCGCACAGTAGTTGGTTGCATTTACCGTCAAAGACCTTACATCACTCGCATTTTCTTTGTATCTCTCCACATCTCTAGGTTCGTTTTCCCTTCTTTTTAGTGCTTCTTATGAAAATTTGTGAAATGGAAAAATCATTGTGGTGGTTCTAGTTGTGAATTGTAATTGATTGTGTGCAATGTATATATGCTGGTAGGACAGTAAGAAATTCAATCAAGAGGGTAATTAATTGCTAAATGAGTATATGCTAGTGACAAATAGGGTATAGGACAATAACAAATGCACTTAGGAGATTGACAAGTAGTGTGCATGGCATTAATAAGTAAACATGTATTTTTTGGTGACCGGTGACAAGTATGTTGTAGGTGAATAACAAGTTTAGTTAAAAAATTGACAAATAGTGTACAGGACATTAACTAGTAAATGCGTATTTGATGGTGACAAGTAAGGTTAGAACAATAACAACTTGACTTAAGAAATTGACATGTAATGCAGGGCATTAACAAGGTTCTTGATGCAACTAAAGCTACTGAGAAATAGAAACTTGTTGTAACCAGATCATTTGTTTTTATTGATATTACTATCCATTCAATCATTCTTCTAACAGTTTTTATAAATCATTCTTTTTATATATGGAGATTTTAGAGTTAGTGAAGTAAGGGTGAGAGGTGAAAGAGAAATGAAATGAGAGTACTAGTTTGTTTGTCAAATGCCTTCACTTTAATATTTTGCTTCATTTGCCAATCCAACCAGAACCTCTTACTTTGAAATGAGAATGCTTGGTTGGGTGCTGGTTGAATTTTGTTGACTTGTGATCCTACTTTTCCGTTTATCCAAACCAAGCCTACATCCAACAAAATCTATATATGTTTAACCAAAAGTAGACTTATGATCTACGAAAACAAAATCAAGAAGTAGTAAATAGGGTGAAGGACAATAGCATGTTCACTTAGAAAATTGACAAGTATTGTACATAACATTAAGTATTAAATGCTTATTTTTTGAGAAGTAAGGTGAGGACAATAACAATTTAACTTAGGAAATTGACTAGTGTACAGGGCATTAATAAGTGAATGGTTATTTGCTAATGATAGGTAGGGTTAGGACATTAACAAGTTTACGTAGAAAATTGACAAGCATGCATATATAGTTGTACATATAGGTAGTTAATGTGTGTCATACGTGTTGTGATTATGATTTTCTAATATTAAACTTTATGAATTTTTAGTCAATTGAATATGAAGGGAGAAAGGAAGGCAAATATTTTTGGTTATGCAAAATTTGTTGAAGATTTCAATAAGAAGAACAAGGGCAAGTATAAATCGATTGGGAAAGGACAGAGAGATTTGATAAAAGCATAGGAGAAGTTGTCAGCAGCAAAAAATGAGAATATTCAAAGAAAGCAAAGGAAGAGAGAGGAGAGACATTTGTAAAATATATTGTTCCCTTTCATACTCGTTGCTCTCCCAGTTAGTTTCTAGAATTGCAAAGTATGTTAAGCGAAAGGACAAAGTAAGAAAAAGGTGTGATCAGATTGGGTTTGACAAACTACTCAATATAGGATGCAAAAAAATACATAGAGATATTTGTGGAGAGTTGATGTGGGCACGTGACCCTCTACCCAATAAATATGCATTAGAGGAAAAGTGAGAAAAATAAATGTAAATGATGTGTAAAATTTGATGGGCATAAAGAATGATGGCAAGGAGGTAACTAGAGACATAAATATTAATAACAAATCATTCAAAAAAATTGAAGGAAATTTACTTTTCAATGCCCTACAAAAAGATTTTGAAAATGATAACATTTAGGAAAGAGGGTGCTTAGTTTGAATTGTTGTTTCTAACGTATATTACGAAAAGGGGAATGACAAGTTGTCAAGGGGAAATGATAACTTTGTATTCATTCACTGTCAATAGGCTTACACTAGTATTTACAACTTTAACATATAGACCAGCTGTAGAAATATTATCCATACATTTACATAATATTGACAACCTATTCTAAAAATAATTACATGAGCTGCATGGATATATTGCACCTTTAGATATATTTACAAAAAAAAATTCCATATGTATTTACAAAAAAATACTATATGTAGTTATAAAAAAAAATTAGCTGAATAAACAAAAAAATGCATCTCCTTAGCATTAATTAGTATGGATTAGGGTTCATGCAATTCTTAAAAGTATGAATTGTCTCATGACATCATCCACAATAATAAAGCTCTTTCTTTTAAAATTGAGATTCACGTCTTTTCGTCTTAGGCCTTCTTAGAGGCCTTCTAATCTTTAATGGCTCTAAGATTGTTTGGGTTAACATATTGGTCATTGTCAATGCATTTGGACGTAGAATATCATGTGTAGATGCATGCCTCACACTGAGAGAATAAATTTTTTATTATGATGTTAGCTTATATCATTCATCCACAAATATGTAGACATTTTCATGAACTAGCTTTATTGCTGCACATACAAGTGCACAAGGTATTCCACTCATTTGCCATGCCAAACAAGTGCATTCTTGTCTTGCAATATCTACATTCAAATGAATTATTCCATTAGGAGAAAAGGTTTGTACCAAGATCTAATTTTCTCCATAAAATTATGCATGCAAATTTTCAGCCCTCGCAACTTGCTACAATTTTTTCTTTATATTAGGCTGATCCCATCTTTCCAATGAATCATAGCTAGTTTAAATGCCAACATCTTGTTTGCCAATTTCTCTTAATGATCATGTATTAAAACATCAACATTATGCTTTCTCTCCTTTACAATCCAAGCATTAAATGATTTAGCAAGGTTTGTTGTAATGTTATCCTATCATTTATAAGAAAACTTGTATCGTGTCTATCAATCTACATCCCCTTGAGCTTCAACCCATTATGCCAATCGTGGACTGAACAATCTAAGGTTCCCTATGATAATATTAAATTCTTCCTTATGCGTAACATAAGCAATAGCATCAAGCAATTTGAGTGTAGCCTCTTTGCTATTCGCCAATGTCCTCCTCTTACCTCTATTAATTTTTACATATTCTATACTAAAATTTTCCTTCACATGACAATAACAACATGCATGTCACTCACACCAAATATAGCTTGCACAACCCTAATAATGGCATTACGTCTATTAGAAACTAATGTTGTCTCAACTAATCTTGTGATGTCTTTTGACATTTTCCAAAAATCAAGACCAATCTTCAAATGTTTCCCTACTCACAATAGCATATGCTACTAAAAATAGGTCATTGTCATTATCATAAGTAGAAGCTGCCAACAAT